CCGGAATGAGGCAAGTAGGTACTTGTACGAGTGTGGGGAAGCAGGCTGACAGCAGTTCCGGTTCGGGAAGAGAAGACAATCCACAGATTGAAAATGGCGTGCATCACCATTGACCGTCCAATATGCTTCTGCTGGCGATAAGAGAGTGCATGAATGGATGCACGCTCGAATAACTACAACAGGTATGCCAACAATCGAGAAGAGAAGACAAGCAGGGCGAGATCAGTTCAGACCAAGTGCGCCAGGAATTGCAAGTAGGGTACAGCAGCGACAGACCAGAAACTGATTTGGTATAACCTCCGAGTCCAAAATGCCATGAACAAGACAGCAACCGGAATAAGACAGAACACACAAGCCACAAGTAGCAAAATCAGTTCTCACACAAGCCACGATCACAAAGAGAGAGCGAGACAGTGATGGAGCATGATCACCGGAATCACAAGCAGCTCCCATTCCCTCAACCCCACACCCTATATCAAGGCCGTAGAAGTTTCAAGCCGGAGGCCGTGCTGAACATCCCTGCGAACATTAGCAGAGTAGTACTACTCGTTGTATAAACGACAAGCACTGCTAGGTAGTTCTGAGGGTAACCTTTCAGTCAACATCCATGGCGATGGCAATAGAAGTAATAGCAACTATGGTCTCAGCAGTAGTAGCCACTGTAGTCTTGGTGATAGCACCAGTTCCGCTGTAGATAAAGCCCAGGAAGCAGAGTAGACGAAAACCACCATCCGCTACACTCCGTCCTGAACTCGAAGTTCAGAGCTTTACGGCTTTAGGAGCGCATGCTCTCAGGTTCCTCGACCCTGTAAAACTTTTGAAAATGAGGCAGCGGCCAACCCAGGGCCATCGCCCGGGCTTCGGTAACAGCACTGCGTTGCGACTTGGGAGTTCGGGAGGTCCTTCGCTGAGATTCTGGCCCGATGCAAACCTGTAGCTCGATTCTTTGGTAAGTGGGATGGTACCTAGAATCTTCTTTGCGAGCCCAAAGTTGTCTTCATGCTAGTTGTAGACCTTATTTTACGAATTTCATTCTTATCAGACCTAGTCAGCTGTGAGCCCAAGCCCTGCTTTTGTCATGCCTCAGTCTGAGGGCCAAAGCAGTGCTGCAGGGAAACCGCAAGCTTGCGTGGTAGGCAGGATGCAATGCATAATCGTTGTGACAGATTAGGAATAATCAATCTAGGAATAATCAATCGTAAGCGCAATGCCACTCAAAAGCGCAACTCTAATCGAAGTACGATTACTGGTCCAAGTAGATGTGGCCTTTGATCCCTGCGTTCAAAGAGCGCTACGACGCTGCGACTTGATTCCGATGTAGGGCTCCGTACTGGACTGTTTGGAGGGGGGTTGGGGGCGGATCATCGTAGGATCGTAGGGTTTAGACTCAGACGGTGAGGTGCAGGGCTTTTCCTCCAGTCATTCGGTGCCACTGAGCTAGGCATGTGTACAGCACGGCTCATCACAGGTTTGCGGTCATCTCGGGTCAAGCAGGGTTTTGTGCTTTGTTGCGGATGAACCAACTTCTGTGTGCACATGTCACCGAAATCGCAACCATCATCCCGCGACCTACTTCGGAGGTGAAGAATGCGCATTAAGAAAACAGCACTGTCTCCATGACGAGCACTGCCATGAGAAGCTAAAGAACTCAAACGTTTCTTGCAGTTGGGGTCGTAATGCTGCGGATACTGCTACCATCGTCCCGTAAAACTGACATCCCCACAAGGGACTGCAAGAGACCTGGAGGATAGAAAGCCTGGGCACACAACCCCCATGTTGAAATCTCGCAACAATCCCGAATCCCAAACCCTCAACCCGAAACCCAGACCCAAACCCCACACCTATAGTCAACCACATGGTGAATCCTAGAAACCCCACTCAACCCTATGATAGCAAACCCAGGATAAAGCCCTCAAGCCCCGGGGGGTCCAAGTACAAAATGATCGTATACTCCCCAACCCCTTTAATCTACAATTGCCTGTACTTCTGTCAGAAACACAAACACACCATCTTGCGGCACTTTGGATCACTTAACCCGGACAGCAATAAGAACCTCCCCAACAAGATCTCGATGAACAAACAACCAATTATAGGGCCCTTGAGGGGGAAGCGACAAATCGAAGCTTTTGCCAACAGCTCGGGCTCTTGTAAACTTCGCGGGCTCGGGTTTTTGACCGACTGGGGCAGCCTGAAGTTTCATAGGGTTTACCTGGGGGATAAAGGGTCCTTTAAAAAATTCAGGGGGATTTCAATATTTGTATCGTGGTTTTACCGGGTTAGCCACAATGTTTTTTTGCACGGGGTACACAAGTTTACTAAAGTTTCCAGTCTTATGTGGGTCATACAGTGTCATACAACATGTGTTGTATGAAGGTGCTGAAGTTGTTAAAGAAGTCCCAGAAGAGCCACCACCCCCACCCGCACCAACGCCAACACAACCCAAACAGCAAGAGCGAAGATGGCGACAGCGGTGGTGCTAGCGAAGATGATGACAAGCATGACCACGAGCACAACCAAAGGTATGGCGGCAAAACGACAAGTGGCAAACCCATTGACCCGATTCATACGGCCAGAGCAGGATATGGAATGCTTAACTGCTAAACCGTACCAACTGTGTCCGGATGGAGGACGAGACGACACGACGATTCGGTCTCACAGCTTCTGAGGGCTTCCGCACTGCATCGAATACCCTTTGACGGAACTGTTTAAGTCAGCGAAAAAAACTAATTGACATAACATGTGTTTCAACGGTCCTAGCAAGGGAACGCTTAGTCACTATGATAACATGCAAGGATAAGGGTTGAATATTTCGCCAGAGGTTTGCATTCGACCCGACACCACATCCACGCCATAGAACCTCATGAACCTCAAAACAAGTAATTACAGCCTCAACAAACACGTAACCGACAATAACACTATTATAAAGCGGCATTAAGTTAAGTAAGTCGATGGCTGCCCCGCCCTGACCTGGCCGAGGTGAGACGTGGCAGCGCTGTGCTCAGCGCCGCGCTGTGTGTACAAGCCGTGTCATGCCTGGCTACTTCCTTGCTCCTAGCGGCTTAGCGCCTGAGGGTCTTTGGGTTTAGGCTAAAGTTTAGGGTTCGGGGTACAGGAGCTTAAGGCACTGGTTTTGTGCATCCAACCTCTCGCAATGTCAACCATCCTCAGACCGCAGTATTCTGGCCGCGATGGAACTAGTCCAAAATTAGAATTTGGGGTCTAGCGCTTAAGGGTTTAGGGTTTATTTGTATGTTCGTACAGATTCCAAGTTCGACAAGCTGGCTACTCTGCAGCAAGCAAGTGCCAATTCAAGATAATAGAAACACATACCTGCCTGTCCAGAACCCACGGGCCAACCAGAAACCTCTATCCTCCCCAGCACCCAAAAGCCTAATCCTTTAACCCTAAATCCCAAACCACAAAGACGATTCTGTCACCGGTGTCGGCATGACTTCGTCGACTCGGGGGTGTGCCTTCCGTACGAGAGCCACCCAAGATTAGGCTGTCGACCCCTCGTTTGAGGGGGGAAAAACATGGCCGGGGATTCCTTGCGGGGACTGGGGCCGGGGGGGGCGGCAAGAGCTGGTTTGTGAGGAGGCCTGGGTCGCAGGAGAAGTGGCGACCTGCGGCAGTTGACAACGAAGGAATCTCAAGACAAGAATATCTCATGCTAGGCCGTGGCGGCGACCTTATTTCGGCATGACAGTCCTGAAGACCGCCGACAACGCTTTTGCTGGGCAAGGTATGACCGTGTGAGGTGCACCCGAGCTGAAACAGGGCGATTTCCATTTTGGGTTTGGAAGCCCCGATGGTGAGAAGATTCTGGTGAAAAGAGAAGCGCACAAGAAGCGGTTTTGCATGCAGAAGCCCAGCCGGATCATTCTACAAATCCAAGATGCTGCACTATCAAATGCCGGCTACAGGTAGAGTCAGTTCGACAGGAATAAACAAATCAATACTACATGACTATCTATGTACACAGTATGTATGTACATATACACAGGTGTGTATATATATATATATATATATATCTCTCTCTCTCTCTCTCTCTACACATACATATGAGATGTTGTGATTGACCGTTGTTTACCACATGCAGCTCATTCATCTGAGATGTGTATCTGTGTGCTTGTCTCTGTTTAAGAGAAAATCAACCCGAAACCCGGCTGGGCTGCTGACTTTAGGGTGAGACGGATGAGGACAGCTACTCGAGCGCATGAACTTGTGTCTCTGCAAATAGCGCCCGACGGCAACTCGCAACATGACTCGCGAGCATTTGAGTTCACAACCTACAACCTCACATCGGACGACTCCTCTGCCCTCTCTCGATCTACGGTTCTGACATAGAGTAGAATCGAGAAACTCTTTAAATCTCTAAGACTTCTTTGCGGTCAGGAGGTAGGCTCTGCCGGTTGCAGCAGAGTCTCGCAGAGTGTGCTTCTCTCAGACAGGCGTGCAAGACACGAATGGCATTAGCCAGATCCTCCGCCTGGCAGAGCCGGTTGTTGGTGGTGTTTAATACAGGGGCCTGAATAATTAGAATAGGTTTTTGGGGATACTACACAAAAAAGGAACCCCCAAAATAGTATTGCTGATTATTTAGGCCCCTATATTATCCCCACAGATCCATCGCAAAGAACTCTATGTTTTTGCTTTATCCCGACTTGTCCTACACTGCTCGATGCTTGATACCGGCCAGACCGCTGAAGACTCTGCGACATTGCTGTAAAAGGCCTCGAACTGCTGCGTGGCGTGGAAGCTATCTGAAGATGGATCTTGTTTTGCAAGTTGGGACTTCGGGGGCTGGGGTCGTCAAGAACTCCTACGAGTACCCAAAGCACCTCAGCCTGTTTCCCCACCCTCCGGTCCAGCAGCCGCGTCGTGCTGTACATGTTGCAGCCAGCATACTGTACCTGTCCACTCGAGGGCGATTAACAGCTAACAACTCCGACGTGTCTAGGACAAACACATTCAGCCACGACTTGCGTGCACCGCGTCACCTAGTCGCGGAGGAGCAGACGCGTTTGCCAAGATCCCATGGTCTGGTTCAGGCACTTGGCGGCCGCTCTCACCGTGCTCTGCCACACCTCGTCCTTCACATCCCCGGTCTCGACATCCACATGCTTCCGTATCCATGCTGTCCAAGGCTTGGTCTGGCGCGACTCTTCCCGAAGCAGCATCAGCTGCAATCCCAGCCAGTTCAGGCCATCACCATCCTTGTTGTCTGACCAGAAGCGGTCCCGGCCGCATTTCGAGTTGTGTTCTAGTAGGTATGCGTCCCCCGTCTGCTGCAGGCGCGCATGCATTGCTGTCCCAGGCGCAAACTTCACCCGAAGCACCTGAAACATCCCGGCCATGTTGCTGCCAAAGCCTCCGTAAGTCCAGTCTGCCTGTCCCTCTGCCTCCAAGCCTCGTTTCTTTCGGAAGGCTTCGGATCCCGAGAGGTTCCGAAACTCGGCAGCCCTTGGCCAAGACTTCAGAGCCTGATAGGCAGCCTCTGCATTCCCAAAGCAGTGGGTCTCTCCTGGGCGCAGGGGAGCTTCCAGGCGCAGCTCCTCCGTCAGGGGATAGAAATTCCCCAGGAACTCAGCTTGACAGAGCTTGTCCCACGCTTCCGCTCTGTCCGGATAATAGAAGGCAACGACCCCTACATTGCCTAAACCAAGCATGCAAGACTTCCAGCGCAGCCAGGCCATCTGCAACTCCCTAAGCCAGCCACGACTTGGAGAACGGCCAGAACGGCTACGCGGATCCGGAAAAGGGATCGCTCTGGGCTCCAAGTCCTTCAGAGCACTGCGCCGTTGCCTCCACGTCTGCAGGACCCAGCGGGGCGGTAGGAGCTGGTAAACTGTGGCGAGAGCCGCAAGAAGGACAAGTGGCTGCTTGGACACCACTGCGGCCTTGAGATCCGAGGTTCCAAAACGTCATCATCGCTTGGTTTCTCCTAGACACTGCCAGCAGGAGGTGCTGAGAAGTGGTGTGCTGACAATGAAGTCTGTGATGAGCGTGCTGGTGACCTGCTGGTGCTGTGCCTTTGAGCGTGAGAGCTGGAGGTGTGTCGGACAGCGGAGTGTGGCAACGGCTGGAGCCCAGGCCCAGTGGTCGAATACTAAGAGCGCATAACGGTACTGTGAATTTCGCACCCATCGAAGTACAAACAATGGTCATGAAAAACACAGCAATCAAATCTTTGCGGGCATCAAGACATGCGTGAGATTGCGGGAGCATGATGGCTGCAGTGTCAATGGTGCGCTAAGGTGGAGCATATGATTTCAAGCGGAAACGAAGACCGGAAAAGAAGCACAGGCACTAATGAGGAAACTCTCTCTGTAAGATCCTCTAGACGCCTCACGCCTGTTGGGGTCTGTTTGTCTGCTGGGCAGTCACTACCGCCACAACCTCTGCCAAGCACCACCGCCAGCACCACCGTCATCCTCTAAACACCACAGCAGGTTGACGGAAATCAAGACCCAGAGGCCCAAATACCAAGAAGGGCCTTCATCATAACCGAAATCTGGAAAGCATATGCTTGATGCCCCCCTGTACAAACACAATCGTAAGTATGTCTGTTTGTATGTATGCATGTGCGTAGGTGTATGCAAATACAAAAACATATACATGCACATGTACATGTACGTACACATATACATACACAGACACATACACATATACATACACATACACATACACAAATACATATACATGTACATGCTCATGTACATACACATATACATACACAGACACATACACATATACATACACATACACATACACAAATACATATACATGTACATACACATACACAGACACAGACACATATACATACACAGACACAGACACGTATACATACACAGACACATACACAGATGCATATGCATATACATATACATACACGTGCACATACACATATGCATATGCAGATACATATACATATACATGTCAAGTACATGTACATACACACATACACATGCACATATACGTATATATAAGCATATGTATGTTTATACAAATATACACACATGTACACCTATACTCTGCGTATGTGTCTATGTGTGTGTGTGTTTGTGTAAAAACATACACATGTATGGTGATGATGGTGATGATGATGATGGTGAAGATAATGACGATGATGGCGATGAAGAAGATGATGATGATGTCCATGATCATGATCATGATGATGAAGATGATGACCATGGCGCAAAGGGTTTTTTGCTGTTATGTATCTGTGTGTATCCTGTATGCATGTGCATATGTATACGTATATATCTACTTATTTATTTCTATATATATACACATGTAGGTATGTATTGTATACGTATGCATATATGTACGTATACACAATATGTAGGTGTACACATTACATATGCATACATGCATACAAACATACATGTACACAGACATAAACTTGTACATACACAGGCATATGCATGTACAGATACATATGTAACAACACCCCCGCCCCCCCCCCTCCCCCCCCCCCCCCAATAAACAAAACTCTTTCGCGATGATATGACTCCAGAGCCCCGAGCCTTCTACTGGAGATCCTCCTGCGCAGCAGAGACCGCCTGGAACGAGGCGCGCCGGAGTACTATAACGTGACATAACACAGTATAGCATAATACAGTGTGATATAATCTAGTATAGTGCAACGATTCAGGAGCTAGGGCTTGGGGGTTGGGGTTTAGAGTTGAGGGTAGAGTGAGAGTGAGGGTAGAGAGTTTGAGTACAGAGACTGATACCTCCACCTGAACCCTAAACCATGAGGCCATAATCGGGTATAGGGTTTTTGGCGCAAGGTTAGGCCAGCCCTTGGCTTCTTTCAGGGTTTCGGGTTGAAGGACAGCTGCGGCTAGGAATGCAGGGCTAGGTTTTGGGTAGGTGTTTAGGGCGTCAGCGGATTTAGGGCTTCGGGGTTCTCCACTATGCTGTGCTGCGGAAACCTGGTTCATATTGCATACTGCACTTCTCTTACGTTGATTGCAGCAGAGTACCTTTGTTACTGAATGGCTACTTGATTGAGCAGCCGGTAGAGAACTCTGACTTAAGATAGCCCTCGATTCGACCGAGTAGTGCCGACTGAATCAGATGATAGTTGCTACCAGACTAGCTACTCATGTTCTTGCCATTGCTCTTTCTGGACTTCGTCGTCGTTTGTTGGCGGTTTCGCAGTAGCGCAGGAAGTAGCAGCATTCGTTGTCTGGGTCGTCGTCCTCCTCGTTTTCAATAGCAGCAGATCAGCCGGGGGGGGGGGGGGAAGCTGGCAGCAGTGGTGATTCGAACTTAGACTGTGACGACAGCTACTGCTATCAGTTTTCGCTGACCACTATCACCCACTCTCGGGCTGCCTGCTGGGGAAACTTGCTCTGCATCAGCGGCGAGTTATCTCGGAAGAAGCCTGGCAGGAAAACAACCTAAACCCTTCTCGTGGTAGCCCCTGCAGTGTCCTTTGTAGCAACCCGTACTCGCTGCCTTTATAGAACACCTTCTAGGACGGTTTCAGGGTTGTAGCATCCGCAACTCTTGAACTTAGGAGCGAAGGGCCTGCGGCAGCTCGCAGGTAAATCCGTTCTTGCTAACTTCATCCAGTGCGATGACTGCCACAACAGAACGAGGACTACCTGCGCAAACTACAAATGATGAGAACGGTGGGCTAAGCTCTTCGGAGCATAGGGCTCAGGGCCCAAGAATGCGGATTCACCGGGATAACACTCGAATCGAAGTCGCCGCAGCTCAACCCTTCTTTGGTGCTTCGGGCCGTAGTGCTTGATCGTAGTTGCGGGTGTCTGCACTGACATGCTGAAAGATCTTGCCTGGGCGTCCGAACTGGAGTCGGTACCTCGGCAACTTGCCAAATCTCTCCCGAGCCTCGTGGCAGCCCTTCGGGTTTGGGCTTCAGCATCCCAAAGGTTGTGGAGCCGCGGAAGAGCAGTCAAGTAAGAAGGCCTGAAACCCTCAAAGCTAAACCCTAGAGTCGCGAGACCCCTAAACTCCCTAAAGCCTCGACCAGAATCTCTACACTCTAAAACCCCTCATCCCCTAAGCATGCACTCCAAACGATTCCCACCCTCACCCAAGTGCGGTCTAGCTGCGAGGTGGGTACCTGGGCATAGCTGCCGGAGGGCCACCAGTTGGCCCCAGAGCCTTGCAATTTAGGTCTGCTAGTTCAAGAATTTGGTGCTCTTATCGTTTCAAGGCTTTGGGCCCGTGCGGCCGGCTTGAGCAGTGCTGTCAGGTTGTTGATGGTGAAGATGAAGATGGGATGAGGAGGACGCTGACACTGACTGCCATGAACTTCACGGTTATCGCAGTCATCGTTCGTGTCGCACGGTCTTAATTTCGGGTCTGAGCTTCACGGATTTCTGTGCCACCATCGAATTCAGCAAATCTCAACAAGGCCACCAGTGGATATCCGGGAAGAGCCGCAGTCCCGAGAACTGAACATCTGAAATCCGCGGACCCTCAGAGCTGATGACATCCATAGCAGTGCCCAAACTCTTGCTCAAGAAAGTCCCCGAACCAACCTCTCTACGATCCAAGGCACTGCAGTTGAAGCTGACAGAAAGCACGGATGTTAAGCAGGCTGATTTCAGGCAATGTGAAGTGAAAGATCCACGTAAGATGATCATGGATGCATGGGAGTTTCAGACCATGGGGGACGACAACAGTACAATAGTTGGCTTTACAGTGTATTGACCTTCAAAGGGTGAACCCCAGTTTTCAGCCCCCATCCATGAAGCCCCAACCCTGAACCCCGCGATGAAGCGCAATCCCACACCAGTCGCATTCAATACAACCAAAACAGCTCTCCAAGCGGCCCTGGCTGCGGAATCCAGTGCCTTCGCCTTTCAATAAGAGGAGTGTTTGGGGTTGAGGGGCTAGCAAACCAAGTGCTGGTCCGTGTTGTGACTGAACTGCTTTCACGTTTGGTTTTACGGTCCTATACCCGTGATGACTTTAGGGTGAAAGGCCTCTGTCTTGCAAGGTATGGGGCAGTTGCACCGCGCCTGTGAAAGGGAAGGAGATCATGTTCGCCTGCGCAGCACTCGAAACTCTTCTCGGGAGCCGCTGGGTTGGAAGCACAGCTTAAACTTCAAAGCTTTCAACCCCAACCCAATTTCCACAGTTCTGGAGCGCCCTCGACCCCTGAGATGATTTCTGTGTTGCTGCTCAAGCGCCGTTCAGAAGCACGATGAAGTCGCCCATCACAAGCAGCAAGTGTCATCACAGCCACCAGAAGTCATCACAGCACCAGGATGTCGACAACCGATACGACGACGACTCCCGAATGGAAAAGCGTCAACACTGAACCACAACCACCAGCAGCAGCAGCAGCACAACCACCACGCCGTGCGTAACCGGACAAGCAACTACAAGTTGCAACAGCTACAACTCACCCTGCTCGCCCCACCAAACCCTTCCGAACGAGGAAGCATGCATGCCAAGCTTCCCCAAATCCGGCCCGTCCCAATCCGCTAAGCCTTCTTCAGCTTGCTGAGCTGCGCGGTGTTTAGGCGGTCCCTGTCAGCAGGCACCCTCAACTTTGCTCGACCCTTATGACATAGCCAGGGCTCATGGCTTATCGGTAGGGATTTGCCAGCATGGCAGAATCAGGGGATCTGACATGCTCGCAGTCCCACTCCCACCCCGTGCATCTCTCTACGACGTAGCTCCATGATGGCTCGACGAGGGTCCAAGT